CCCTTAATCCCCCTCCAAAACCTTACAGCTCCCTAGTAGCACTAAGTCCTCCCTTTCCACACACAGCCCAGCCCAGCGAGCACGGCGGCTTTTGCTTTGCCGGCCCGTACTTTGGGTGAATAGTGGTGCTAACTTGACAACTTCTAGCCCTAAATCAATAAATGCGCAAACATATAACACAATTTCATTTAGTTCTTTAGGAAGATAAACATTTGGACTACCTTCCTAGCTATGTACAAATTTCGGAAATTTTCGGAAAATGTCAATAATTAGATGAGAAAATCATGATTATGAAAATCTTTCATTCGCTCTAACTCATGATTTCCTTGGTCGATTTCGCTGGTTAAAATGGCCATGTCTTCAGTAGAGCTATCCGAGAACGGAAAACGCATTTGATGACTAATAGAAAGTTGCATTGGTCATAATGTTGTGAATTCTGCATTTTATATGTTATAGCTAAATACATCTTTCATGAACATGACTTAATTTGTCGGTGCCACGCATGGCTTCAAAGCCCGATGCTTGCATATTTTTGCAAACGAGTGAATAGAGAACTTAGGGAAGCAGATGGCGTTGCGTAACATTTCGTACTATTTGGAATGCCAGAGAGGGACTGTGCATTGATATGGACAGCTGTAGATGGAAATGATGGCTGGAGAGGGTTACATTTCTTTTTGTTAAGCCAGGTTAATCTTGAATAATTTTCCCTCGGAAAATTCTTTCGAGACGGTATCTCCATTCATTACAGCTTCCTGGATGTAAGTAGTACTGAAAATGTAAAAAACTTGTTTAACCTGGCAATAAGGGACTCTTGAATGTAGTTTAAAAATTGGACATGGCTTTGGGGCTAACGCTACCGGCCACCGGCTACGCTGACGACCGCCAGCTACAAAAAAGACCCCCCCCCCCAAAAAAAGACCCCCCAAAAAAGACCCCCCCCCCCAAAAAAAAAAAAAAAAAATTGGACATGGCTTTGGGGCTAACGCTACCGGCCACCGGCTACGCCGCCAGCTAGCTGACGACCGCCAGCTAGAAAAAAGACCCCCCCAAAAAACAAAAAAAAGACCCCCCAAATAAGACCCCCCCCCAAAAAAAAAAAAAAAAAAAAAAAAATTGGACATGGCTTTGGGGCTAACGCTACCGGCCACCGGCTACGCCGCCAGCTAGCTGACGACCGCCAGCTAAAAAAAGACCCCCCCCCCCAAAAAAAAAAGACCCCCAAAAAAGACCCCCCCCCCCAAAGGGGCTCCATTACAGTTTTTTCCTACACTCAGCTGCTCCCCCTCACCATAGGCCCTTTTTCAAGTTTTTTTTGAGGAATCCATTGACATATTGTGGTTTGGAACCCTTTCCCATACATCAACAACACCAACAATAATTATTTTATCACACCAAACTATGAGTGAGATGAAAATGGGTTCTAACATCAGTTTTTCTTTTTCAAAGATTTATAAAAAAAAATAAAAAAAAAAGCACTAGCTTGGAGTCGAACCCGATACCTTCCAGTTGCCAGGCGTTTGCCTATCCACTAGACTAATGTGTCACACTGGTAATCTTCATGTATTTTTTTTTTTTTTAGCTGACGACCTCCAAGAAAAAAAGAAAAAAAAAAAGACCCCCCCCCCCCCCAAAAAAAAAAAAAAAGACCCCCCAAAGGGCTCCCTAACAGCTTTTTCCTACACTCTGCTGCTCCCCCTTCACCATAGGCCCTTTTTCAAGTTTTTTTGAGGAATCCATTGACATATTGTGCATTGGAACCCTTTCCCATACATCAACAATCAACAACACCAACAATAATTATTTTATCACACCAAAATTGGAAAAATGATTAACTTTTAATATCTGGCTTTTGGGCTTTAGAACAAAATACACTAGCTGGGGATCGAACCCGATACCTTCCACTTACTAGGCGGTTGCTTATCCACGAGACCACTTTGCCTCACTACGATTACCTGGTTCACTTTTAGTATTTAACACTGTGCTTTTAGTTGTTAACACTTTCAGCTAGCTGACGGCAGGCGCAGCTATACCCCCTAAAGGCAGACGCGGATCCAGGGCGCCGGGAGGGCCTTGCCCCCCCCCCCCCCCCCCGCAAAAAAAAAGAGAGAGAGAGAAGGAAAAGAAGGGAAAGGGAAAGAGGAGAGAAAGGGAAAGAAAGAAGAGGAAGAGGAAGAAGAAGGGGGAAAAAAAGGGGGGAGAAGCAGATCAAGGGCCGAAAGGGTCTTGGATCCCAGCTGTCACCCCCCCCCCCCCCCCCCATTACAAAATAAGAGAGAATGATGAAAAGGGAAAGAAAAAGGAAAAGAAGAGATAAAGGGAGGTAAAAACGGAAGAAGAAAAGAAAAGAAGCGGGATATCAGTTTTGCCGCCAACAAGTTGTAGTTCAGAGGGTTAAAGGCCCTAGACCCTACGCCAATAAACGCTACGCTCTGCCTTATCGTAAATACCACTCCCCCAACCTACTTAGAGAAACGTTCAGCGAGGCCTGCATAAAAAGTGGGTGGTGCGGGGTTTTTTTCTACCCCCCCCCCCAAACGTTTTTGCTCATTTCGCCACTGCCGGTGTCACCATTACGTACCAATATTTGGCTAGCATAATTTCAAATACATTGACATATTGTGCATTGGAACCCCATTGGAACCCTTTCCCATACATCAACAATCAACAACACCAACAATAATTATTATGTCACACCTAAATTGGAAAAAATGATTAACTTTTAATATCTGGCTTTTTTGCTTTAAAGAAAAATTGTAACTGATCTCCCCTACCTTTCTTCTTCCTCTTCCCCCCCCCCCATACTTCTCTCACCCTCTCTCATTTAAGTTTGGTGAGGGAGGCAGGGGGCTTTCGCCCCCTCCCCCGATCCACACGATGTTGATGGGATTAATCGCAACTGATCTCTGCTTCTTTTCACCCTTTTCTTTTTTCTACCTCTTTTGTGTTCCATTTTAGCTCTCCTCTTTCCCTTTCCTTTCTTTTTTTTTTTGGCGAGAAGGGGGGGGGGTGGTCTGGGGGGGGGGGGGGGCAGAGGCAAAGGCCTTTTTCCGCGATCTTGGGGGGGGGGGGGGGGGTAGTGAGCACCTTTTTTTTGGGGGGGGGCCTCGAAATTTTAACAATTTGCACCCTCCCCCCATCCCCCTACTAGATCCACCACTGCCTGTAGTTTCATCCCTAGCTAGCTGGTTAAGCTGAATATGGGTTATCTAGTCGTTTCATTCATTAAGTATAATTATACTTGTATCAGGGATATGAGAGTACATCCCTGTTTGTTTTGACTATGTATACGTGTGGACTAGAGTACGGACATTCGGTGCGGCAGGAGGACTATTGGTGCGAGACCTCTTCAGCACAGATTGTCCGTCAGACATTTGAGGCGCGCACGGAATGTCCGACACGGACATTCTGCGCGGATAAAATCCGCACCGATCGTCCGCTCTCGATCGATCTCTAATAGTCGGACGATCGGTGCGGGTTACATTCTACGCGGTCACACCGGCCCTTTAAAATGTAAGCTGACATTGACAAGGCAATCCAACCCATGATGGTGAATTAATCAAATCAAATCAAATTATATAATAACAACAACAACAACAATGATAATAATACAATTGATGATGATGATGAAAATGATGATGATGGTGATCGATGATGATCATAATTATGATGATCTGCCAAACATTGAATTCAGGGGGAAAAAATACACGGGGGGCTCTGGGCAAATTTGCCCTCGAAATGCAAAAAAAAGCCCCCAAAAGCCATAAAAGTTTGAGCAAAATCAGATACCGGTAACTATTTTGAAAGTTATGAATTTTTAATGACATGAAAAACTTTAAAAATCACCAGACAAATTGGCTATATACTCACTCTATGACGCCATTGCCTCACTATCCACTAATTGTTATCTTTATTGATAATGTAAATTTCCAATTTTCCCCCTAATATATTTCCTCACACCAGCAACCAAGTCTAATATGTTTTTGTGTGGATGCACTTATATATATATAGCCTTGTTCAGTTAAATCATGAAAAATCTGAATTTCGATAAACTATTTATATAAAAATCAATGATTATGAGCCATATTCAGAAAATAGTATCAAATCTTCAAAGTTCATAGAAGATTTTGTGAAATTTCATGCACGCAATATGATACTAATCATATAACCTGGGCAAAGGCATGGGGAAATCAAGTTTTTGGAGATAAAAGGGGAAATTAATTGGATAAAAATATATAAAGCAATTCATAAATAGTGAAGCAATGACTTCACAAACTGATAACCAAATTCGCAATTTGTGAAGGGATTTTCTAAGTTCCATTGTTTTTCACTGATTTAAACGAAATTCATGACTTCCTTATTATTATATATAGTTATCCGATTTTACTCAAATTTGTTTTGCTCTGTTTCTCTTGTTTTTCTGCATCTATTAAAAGCAAATTATTTTTGGGAGGACTAAGCCTTTAATGTCTAGATGAGAACATCGTCAGCAAATGTTGGATAGAAATGTTAAAACTTAAGGCGATATATATGTGCCTAAAATACTCCCCTGTTTTATTCTTATTGCGCCCTTTGTTATTTTACAACGATAATATACTAGCTGATGGTTTCCTTTCTGATGAAGAGCTACGTACATAGCAACCTTTAAAGTTCGATCAGTAATCACTCGGAACATCATTTATTTAAACAGCAGGAGCTCGATCGTGGTCAATACAAACAAAATATTTAGGCATGTCAAGAACCCACATTAAATTAAAATGTAAGAAAATACTTCCGTTTCTCATAATTTCTATAACAAGTTAAGTAATGAAGTATTTCTAGCTTTTGATAATAATGGAACATATGAGGCTATTTTAGAGTATCATCTTGCTTGTTTCAGTAATCTTTCTGATATATCAGTTTAATTATTAGAACTCATCTATCCGATTGAGGAGTGGAGAGGAAGCGAGGGAAGAGGAGAACGGAGGAGATCAATGGCAAAAAGGGAGTCTTTTCAAGGATACCGTAGATCTAATCGAGTATTGATTTCTAGTGCTAAAGAAAGGGCGGATTTCATGTGAAAAAAGGGCGTTTTCATTAAATTTTGCTGTCAAGATGCCGGGTAATATTAAACAGTGTTATTATGTGTTAAGTGTCTTCATTTTAACGTAAAATTATATTCAGATTATAATTACGAGTGCCAATATAATGGTTTGTCATTCCGTTTTGGGAGATTCTTTTATTTGTCCTGCCCCACATATTGAGATTAATGTTGTAATAAATCAAGTTGTTTGAAGACTGAAGGGGGCGCTAGTTCAGAAGTCTACCCTACTAAAACATATCAAAAATCAACTAAATCTTCATCACTTATTGAAATAATGGTCATGATTTAAAATTTGTTATGTTTCTTGCCCCTTTCGTGTCAATTTTCTCATCTTTTTTGGAGTAATTTTCCTAAAATAAACTTGGCTAAAAGTAAAAACGAAGACATGATAAATCTATACACTTTTTCACAGGTCTCACAGCTCAGCAAACCGCTGCACAATCACCGTATACTGACGAAGGTGTGCGGGCAGGCCTGCGTGCGTGAAGGTAGCGATCGTAAACTTTACGCACGCTCGAGGGGCCCACACGCCTTCGTCGTAAGGGTATGCAGTTGTATTGTAATTGTGCAGCAGTTTGCCATGAAACCTGTGAGAAAGTGTATATTATAATGTCTTCGTCTTCAGGAAAAATACGCCAAAAAAGATAACAAAATTGACACAAAAGGGGTAAGAAATATAACAACTTTATATCATGACCATTATTTGAACAATTGATGAAGATTAAGTTGATTTTTTGTGCATGTTTTAGTCGGGTATCTCCTCGCTGGAGTTACTGGTCTAAAATGGATACATAAGTACACTAGCGCCGACTGAAGTAGTCCATCTTGTGTCGACTTCAAGGGAATACCGGCAAAAGTAATGTCAGCAAGTTTTATTTTACTTAGGTCTTTATTTGTTAGATGACTATGATCTAATTCAGCTCAGAATAGTCAATTAAAGTTTTGACTAGAGCATGTAAAGCACTCCAGCGAATTTTCAGATTTTCAATCGCAAACGCAGGCGAAAAATCATAATGCGGGCGGGCGACGGGTTACTCAATCTTGAGTTATAAGGGCCTAACAAAACAAATTAAGTGCCCTAAATGCAATGCAGTGCATACATGTTTAATAATTTGGGAAACCTTCAGTGCTGTACTTTTCTATTACTTTGTCTCGTCATTTCATTTTCTTGTAGCCATAAAACTTTCAAAAATCCACAGCTCTGGTTGTTCTCCATAACTAATGCCATTTTTCTATTATTTGTTTCATTCTTGCCCTCTTCTCTACATATATATATATATATAAAACGCACATCTCGCGTGGTCCAATATACATCTTTCTGTGTACAGTGCTTTTAACTTTACCAAGACTGGGCCAAATTTCTTATCATTTTGATGATTCCAGAACCTTGCAGTATACACCAATACTTACATGTATATGCTAAATGATCAACCTTTTCTGATCGATTCCACAACGTTTCTTTCACAATGCAATCGCATGAACATAACTGGTCTTTATCTTTAATTGTTTATTTCTGTTTACTGTCAACTCAAAAATTATTTTATTGATTTTTGTATGAGTGTACCAAATGTTAAATATTTGTCACACACAATGAATTTCCATTGTTAAATGGACAATAAATATGAACCTCATGAACCTTACATAACATTTGTTCTCGCTCATGACTGCATCAAATGCTTCTTTAATAGTTTTTTTCCGCGAGTACATTCTTCCTCGATTTAATCATAAAATGTTGATGCCATGTACCATTTCAATCATGCTGTTATAAATTGATACCCTTCATTATTTCCCCTCCCTTTTATTACATACAATCTTTCACTCCTGAATCAAATCATTTTGATTTGCTAATCAATATAATGGTCTGCTGTGTGTTTATGATCTTTCCTCAATAGGTTTGATTAGCATTCCCATACTATTTATTTTATGCAGGTTGCTGTAACTGCTTTGCGGCATGCAAGCCCCGCTACAAGAGACTGGTGGACAACATCTATCCTGACACAGCTGAGGTAAGTTCAAGGTCAAAGTTCAAGGTCAAAGGTTAAGGGTCGGTATATTCAATTTGCTTCAAATTAAGACCCATAATAGCTAGCATGCCATTAAGTTTCACTTGGTGTTTCGATCCCTTCATGGATAATTGGAGAATGAAGTCATAGAAAACAACCCTTTATACAGGAATCTATAGAAATTATAAATCAGCAAATCTGCACTCTTCAAATAGCCCTTAAAAAACAATTGATGACTGAAATATAATCATGAATATATTTTATAAGATAAGTACATATATTAACAGCATTCAGTCCGGACTATTGGAGCATAAAATGATGCAATTTTTACTTTAAAAAATGTACATGTTGAGAGCCAAGACATTGAATTGATTATCATTAATATAAGGGATTAGTGTGGAAATCCAGACCATTTTATTTTCTTTCTCATTATGTTTAGTGGTGCTGAGTAACATGCTTATTCGGATTCCAATTTCATTTTATTTGCAGGGTGGTTTAGTGTGATATAACATGCTTATTCAGACTGGGGGGTGTTTCATAAAGCTGTTCGTAAAGTTATGCATGACTTTACGAAAGCCAAATGGGATGCTCAATCATTATTAACTGCATCAACTCAAGGTGAACTGTGCAGATGTAGATTAACATTCTTATTATAACAAACATTTTTAATGCAAAGTATATTGTTTGCCATAATTTAATTGAGGTTATTGGAAACATCGGGAAATACTTTGGGCATAGTATCTGGCACTTCATATACTAGTCGTTCGTAAAGTCATGTGTCACTTTACGAACAGCTTTATGAAACATCCCCCTGGTTTCATTTTATTTGCAGGAGGGTTTAGTGCGTAGTAACATGGAGAAGCTGACGTTCTATGCTGTGTCTCATAACGAGAAGCTTGATCGCATTGGAAGCTATCTAGCACAGAGGTTAGACAGGGATGTATACAGACAACGCATTGGGTAAGAAACATGTGCAGTGCTTGATGACTGGGTAATATTATCTCTATAAATCCAGATTATTATTATCTGTGATACAAAATTCGCTTTGTTGATGTTTGCTCTTGCCTTTTAGAGGTTTAGATTTCTGAATACCGATATTTGAAATTCAATTAGTGTAAGAGAATGACCATGAATCGAGGAGTATGTCCAAAAATTGATAACGGTAGCTTGCAGTTTAGTACTTGACTTGTACGTGAATAGTCTGCAAATCAATGATTTTTTATTTAGTGTCATGACGACCTATGTCTCTCCCCATGAAATGCAGTTTGAAAAAAAAATGATATGTTTGGAAACATTGTCTTCTATTTTATGACAAACCCTGAATAATGTAAGAAAAGAATAACAAGAATAAACAGTGCAGTTAGCACATCTTATCCTTCAAGATAATACTTTCATACTTTTTGCGACCATCCTATACACCAATCTCTAAGTTCTTTGCCCAACGTTTTCATGGCACATGTTCTATCATATAGTAACCACTGCTATTCCTTTTCATTCTTGACCCGTTTTCCTACTCCCCCCAAATGTGTTTTGTATCAACTATTTTTATCGTCCGTGTGGGGTTTTCCCCTCTCTTTTAGGTACGGTATGTGTTTATTTCCAAATTTCCATGCAGGCTTTAGACCGGGTGGTGGTGACATGTCAATCACAGAGTCTTAATCTCTCTTTTTTGTATTCATTGTTTATTTCTTGCCGTGTTATCGCCTTGTGAGTCCGTTCATCGCAACATGCAGTTTCTCAAAGTTTGATGTTTTTACCCCTCTCCTTTTAGGTATGTGTTGATTTCTATGCAGGCTTTAGACCAGCTCTTGTTGGCTTGTCATGCACAAACTCTCAATCTATTCGTGGAAAGTTTCTTGAAAATGGTTCACAAACTACTGGAATCCAACAACATTGAGCTTCAGGTTTATGGGACCCAGTCTGTAAGTATATACAGGCCTGATAATTGCCCGATTTAAACCAGTTTCCCAATTTTTAATTTTTCCTGATTTTCGAGATAGGACTCTTGTAGCGTGCCCCCATTTAAAACAATTATACAATAACAGTTAGTATTACATTTAATTAATAGTATGAAACTATTAAAATTACTCTCATGTTACGGGAAAAAATATTATATATATATATATTATGAATCAATTAATTTGGTCGATCCAGTTCAATGGCACAAACAAGGCAACACCGGACAGAGATCCTAATAATTACAGAGCTTGGTCTTGTTGCTCTGTTCACCAGCAGTTTGAAGATATGGATATGTTTGGACTAATACGTGATGATACAAATTTTGCCAGGAAGTCGCCTACTACTTGATTTATTTGGTAAATTATTATATCTATCTGGACTGGATAGATATAGGGTAGTCCCATATACATCTTTCTGTGTACAGTGCTGTAACTTTACCAAGACTGGGCCAAATTTCTTATCATTTTGATGATTCCAGAACCTTGCAGTACACGCCAATACTTATATATGATCGATTCCACCACGTTTCTTTTACAATCGCATGATCAGAACTGGTCTATACCTTTAAAATTTCTTAAAGTTTTAAAGTTTTTAAATCTGCTCAATGTTGTAAATGTTGTGTTTTTCTCATTTTTCTCTTGTAGTTTGTGAAGTTTGCCAACATTGAGGAGGATACGCCATCCTACCATCGCCGATATGATTTCTTCATCTCAAAATTCAGTTCCATGTGTTATAATAACAATGAGAATATGAGTGTACGCAGAAAGTGAGTCATGGTGTATGTCTGTTACCTTAAAAGAACTAGCTTGATATGAGATGTCAGAGCTAGCAAGTGTCACGCATTATGCGTGATGTCACGCATTTAGAGGGTCTGATAAAGCTCTCATGCACGCAAGCGCCCAATAAAAAAAAAAATTGCTATTCGTAAGTTATACCCTCGCCCCGAGTCATGAAAATGTCATGCATAGCTGATCTTTGAACTTGGCGTCTCTGCCATGTATATACATGTTTTCTTCTTGTTCATTTCCAAGAGCTAATGATAACAGGGCATAATGATAACAAAGAATGTAAAGTGGTGAAATTGAAAATACAGTCATGTTTTTATGTAATTTGGGAGGGTGTGCACATTTCAAATCTATTTCTTATCTTGTCAAATAATTTAGTCCAAATGGTTTCGCTCAGTGGCTCCAGAGATAGTCTCAGAAATGAAATCGAAGGTTTGCTTGTTTTTGCCCTAGTTGAGGCATTCTTCTTCCGAGCCACTAGTGGCGATCTCTACGTCATCCTTTTGTTTCAGGGAGGGGGAGAGGGGATCTTTGTCCCTCCTTCGAACATAAGGATGACACAAAAATCGTTGCCATTGCCTGGGGATACATTCGCATTGCACAGCAATGCAGATTACGACATTTCTAGTTTTACTGGAGAGTGTATTTAAACTTGCAAAATCTCTTTAAAGAAGTAATATTTAACGCTAATATTTTGAATACAATATGACAACTTTGTACTACTAACATAGAATTTTGTTGTTGTTGATTTGCACACTTTGAAATGTACCTCAAATATGTGTACACTTGGAGATTTGTCTCTCTTTTCTCAGAATTCGAATCGCTGGACTGAAGGGAATCCAAGGAGTGATACGGAAGACCGTTAGCGACGAGCTCCAGGTGAAGATCTGGGAGAAACAACATATGGAGAAGATCGTTCCTTCACTTCTATTCAACATGCAGGAAGGCTTTGAAAGGTACAAGGGAGTTGCATGCCAAGAAACGACTAAAGACCAAAGGTAGTAAGCTTATTGTGTTCTAAAACAACTACGTCTAAATCTTTCACGGAGGCTCAGTTGTCTGTTCTTGAATCATGCAGGAACCTTTAAAGCCCCACTGTCCTACTTGTAGCTACATGTACTTGCTCCCTCTATGTAGAAAACTTCCCCAATCAGTGCCTGTTGGTCCCCCATGATCCTCTTTTTATGCCTCCGCCACCGAAGGTGGTGCCGGAGGCATCATGTTTTCGGGTTGTCCGTCCGTACGTCCGTACGTCCGTACGTCCGTCCGGACGTCCGTCCGTCCGTCCGTACGTCCGTCCGTCCGTCCCGTTTGACCGTTATCACAATATCTCAAGAACCATTTAAGATTTAAACTTAAGACTCAGGAATAGTATTTATCACCATAGGAAGACGATCTGATTAGATTTTGGAGTACGTAGGTCAAAGGTCACAGGTCACAGAGGTCAACTTATGAAATTCCTTGTATTGAGTTTGTTAGCGCGATATCTCAAGAACCATTTGAGATTTAAACTTCAAACTTAAGGATAGTATGTATCACCATAGGAAGACGATCTGATTAGATTTTGGAGCACGTATGTCAAAGGTCAAGGGTCACAGAGGTCAACTTATGAAATTCCATACATTGAGATTGTTATCATGATATCTCAAGAACCACTGGAGATTTAAACTTCAAACTTAGTGATAGTGTGTATCACTATAGGAAAACAATCTGATTAGATTTTGGAGCACGTATGTCAAAGGTCAAGGGTCACAGAGGTCAACTTATGAAATTCCATACATTGAGATTGTTATCATGATATCTCAAGAACCACTGGAGATTTAAACTTCAAACTTAGTGATAGTGTGTATCACTATAGGAAAACAATCTGATTAGATTTTGGAGCACGTAGGTCAAAGGTCAAGGGTCACAGAGGTCAACTTATGAAATTCCATACATTGAGATTGTTATCATAATATCTCAAGAACCACTAGAGATTTAAACTTCAAACTTAATGATAGTGTGTATCACCATAGGAAGACAATCTGATTAGATTTTGGAGCACGTAGGTCAAAGGTCAAGGGTCACAGAGGTCAACTTATGAAATTCCATACATTGAGATTGTTATCATGATATCTCAAGAACCACTGGAGATTTAAACTCCAAACTTGTTTAAATTGCTCTATTGCGGAGGCATCATTTTCGACTGCGCGCAGTCAAAATTCCATCTAGTTCTTATGTTAGTTGAGAGCTGAGTTAATGAGATAGCCACCTGTCAGTGACCTTGCTGTGTGGTCTAATCCCTTTTGGCCCAGTAGTGTTGACGGTCTTTAAATAATATTCAGGTTTTTGTCAAAGCATTGTTGGTTTCTCTGAAGGCCAAAAATAGAAGACTTTTTTCTTCTCATTTTTGTAATGTCAGAGCGGTATTTTTACAACAAAAGATTGCATGTAGTTAACAATTATAGCATATTTAATAGTTAGAAACCAAGTGCCTCCAATTAATACTGAAAAAGATCAAAACAAACAGAGTTCTTTTGTAATATTTGTCATGAAAGTCAGATCCATGATAAAGGCTATAAACTAAATCTCATACTTGTAGATGCAACCCTGCAGTAGAAGTATGGTTAAAAGAGAGATTAGGATCAAGCTGGGGAAGGGTCCCTTAACTAGGCGTGGCGTGCGCCTGTAATCCAGCTAACGGTGGAAGTTCCAAATGGATTCAACCGAGGACGCAGGTTTGAAACTAAGTCATGTCTTTTGGATGGTGACGATCTGATTGAAACCCATGTCACACTTATGATCTGGTATAGTGTGAGATGGGGGGGGGGTTCTTTGCTCTTGCTGCAGGTAAATGAATGGCACATTGTTTGAGCAGTGGCATAGTAACTGGGATTTCCTGGGATTTTAAACCAACTTATTGCCCTTTGATAGGGTATAAAGCCTAATTTTCATGTCCCTTTGATAGGACTTGAAGCTGTAGTCCCACCTCCCCCGACCCCACCCACCCCCCCCCCCCCCCTGCCCCCCTCCCCAGTGGTTTCCTACCTACTAGTTTATACCTGCCTTCTTATTATCCTCTTTCTCTATTATGAGCTTCACAAGTGTGTACTATAAACCATTTCATAGCCACATTGATATGCTTGACTTTGTAGCCATGAGTCTCCAGTATCAGACAATGTAGAGGAGAGACCCGCTGCCCTCGCTGAGACTTGCCTGAGGAATGTCATGTGTAGCGCCGCTTATAATAACATCCATTCTGTACTCAAACCAGTGCTGAGGTGAGTTATGGACACTGCAAACCTTTCTAATAGTCTTCAATGAGACCTTGACAAAATTATGATATGATACGATATTCAATAAATTCAAAGTCCTGAATTTGATTCTGAAGGTTCCTGTGCTTAGTAACATCAACACATGGGATGTTAAAGATATAGACCAGTTATGGTCATGCGATCTTAGCTGCATGTCTTTAGTTTAAGGTTTTTATATTTCATTCTTGTAACTATTTTTGTTTTAAATATACTTGTACTTGCTTATTTTTTACTTTGTAAAGTGCATAGAGAAACTTCTGTTTATTATGCGCTCAATTAATCTAACTTTATTATTATTATTATGTAATGAGTTGACTTCACGCAATGTCCCCCACTGAACGCGGGGTGCTGGAGTTATTTTGTGCTATGACAAACTAAGGGTGATAGAATCAAGCCAAATTAAGAAGAGAGAGAGAGAGAGAGAGAGAGTGGGGGGGGGGGGAGAGAGGTGTTACAATATATTTATTCATGATGGATTAAGATAAATTATCAGTTTAAATAGTGGCTTGCTAGCCTCATTTTAGGATATTGGAACTTAACTTTAGTTACCTGTGATTAATCTGTGCATCTCTAATATCATACAATTTGCACTTAAATCAATATTTCAACCTAACTTGGAAAGTGTCACCTGCTACTATGTTATATCTCTTATTTAGACATCTAGACCTTCATGAGATCTGGCTTCCGACTGACTTTGCTGTCAAGGTTTTCAAGGTCATCATGTATTCAATGCAGGTAAGCTATCCTAGATATCAGTGCTAGGAAGTTTGAAAATGATCTGTCCCTTCTAATAGAAGTATTAACTGTACATGGACAGTACCTGTATGGGTATATGTGTTGAATGTAATGAACTCTCCTCAAAATAATCGCTGAGTGATGAGCAAAAAAAGATTAAACAAATGGAATTCATGTAACCCAAATTCTCTCACAGTGCATTCTTTTAAACCAGACCTCCAGATAATCTGCAAACAACCACCAAAATCATGTTGTATACAGGCATGAGAATCTCCCACGTTTCTGCGGTTACCCAATTATTTTATTATTATTATTATTTTTATATTATTATATTATTATTATTATATTTTATTTTATAAAAAAAAAAAATCTTGATTAATTAAACCTCATTGGCTTTCCCCTGGCCTTTATTGGTGAAGCATTCGCAGTTTTGAGAGACATCATGATCAATCACATCAATCACATTGATCACTGGATCCCCTTTGTACGTACACCTCGCCTTCAGCTCTGTTTTATCATATTTTTAAAGATATTTATAATTTCCAGTTTTTTTCAACAAACTCCATTATCTTGTCCATGTATATAGCATGTACACTTTTTATGTTAAGTGTATCCCACCCCTCCCAATTCCAGTATCTATATGTAATACGTCATTATCTTCTAGTTCATTTGGATGAGAATAGGAACATGCCTGAGAAATGAGCAAAAAAAGATGGGATGAATAGATTTATGAATAGAGGAACTCCACATATGATGTTATCCAAACTCTGTATATATTTGATCCCTTTCAGTCCCAGTATCTGTATGTAGCACCTCATTATCTTCTCCTTCACTTGGATGAGAATATGAATAACTCTCCTCGCATCAAACGTAGCATCGTTGAGGTTCTCAAACAGACGGTTGCCATAGCAGCAGACGGAGCAGTCGGTAAGTCTCACATCCCTCCTCTTAGTTCAAGCTTTATTTCCTTTCAATAAAATCTTCAACAAGTCATAGTGACTTATTAATTTTTAATGTAAATGATTTCTTTATTTCTCACTTTTTTAAGATTGATAGTCTCATATGATCAGGATCAGGCTGTTTCAATTAAAAACAAATTAATTTCTAATCATTCAGTCATTTATTCAACCTTTTTGTAAGGCTGTGTTTTTTCAAAGAATTTTCTTAATTATGATTCATGAAAATTATTATTTTGAATTTTGTATGATGCTTGTTGTGTGTTCATGATTCAATTCACGTTGCGACATGTGATTGTTTTGAATATTAAAAGTACCAGATTAAATTAAATTGAATATTTAATCCAGCAAACTTGTTTTAATGACAGGGACATCTGTGCTGGAAGTCTTCAACACCCTCCTACGACATTTAAGGTCATCGGTGGAGAAGAGATTATCTGGTGGAGGTCATACCCCCTCACCCAAACCAAACAGACAGGTCACACAAGACGTGGATGAGAGAGAAGAGGCTCTCTTTGAAGAAGCAATCATCGATACGATAGGTAATGAAACCTAGGGGGTGGTTCACAAAGATCCTAAGTTAAACTTATCTCTAAGTTGGACTTAACAATTATGGAAAGCCGTTAGCATCTTTGAAAATATTTTTTTTAAAGTTATTTTAAAAGGCATTAAATGTTGATTCAAAGCATTCATATTTTCTATTATCATGGGAAATTTCATGTTTTTGATGTGGAATTTATGAAAAGTCTAAAATACTTGATTTTTTTGCATTTGAATATATTTTATTTTAAGGCTACAAATAGCTCTCCATAATTTTTAAGTCGGACGTAGAGTTAAGTTTGACTTGGGATATTTGTGAAACACTCCAGAACTTTGCAACCATGAAACTTTCGAGAATTGTAAAGGACAGCCATTCTCACAGCAAGAAACCTCTACAGATTGCAATATTTAGTGTTGTGTCAATTGTGAATAAATCAGTTTGCAAAATAGAACTTCTCTCTTATAATCATTTCAGAAATAAACCAATTCACGCTTCTTATAGATATCATTAATATTTCTTTAATTGAAGAGGAGTGTGATGGTCTAAGGAGTGAGCCACTAGACTGTGGATCACAAGGAATGGGGTTCAAATCCCTGCCCCAGAACTGTCCTTTTGCAAAATGACACTGATCTTTATTTTCCACACTCATCCAAGATGATTTTGATTATCATCCTCATCATTACAGGTGCATTTGCGAGTATTTTACCAGACTACCAGAAGATTGAGATCATGATGTTTATCATGGGTAAGATACCACTCCCAAGACCTACCGGTAGTCAAGAACATCTTGGTAGGGACTCAGCTATCTACTCCAAGGGGTGAGTCATAATAAATCATTCTGGGGAGTGTTTCACAAAGACTAAGATCAACTTTAGAGAAGCTTGAGTTCTGGGAAGAGGTGACAAATAATTTGTGAGCGTTATCATTGTATTAGGTATGCAAGGATGGAAGAAGATCAGATAAAAAATGTTATAAAAAGCATTGCTCTTCAAATGCCTTAATATTCTTCATATGGCATGTAACATCATAAAAATCGTAACAGATTTTTATGATACATATTCAAGTAGTCCCATGTACAGCTTTTTGTGTACAGTGCTTGTAACTTTACCAAGACTGGGCCAAATTTATCATTTTGATGCTTGCAGTACACACCAATACTTATATGCTAGATGATCAACATTTTCTGATCAATTCCACAACGTTTCTTTCACAATGCAATCGCATGACCAGAACTCAACTTTATTTTTAAGTTCGACTTAACTATGGCAGGCCGTTCATGCCATTAGTTGCTCTAACCAATCCTTGCATTGGGACGTACAAATCATGGTCACAAATTTACATTTTTTGATAGTTCATAATTGAAGGCAAAATATCTAAAGATTATAATTGAGAGACCAATGGTTAGAGGACCTAGTGGCATGAACGGCCTGCCATAGTTAAGTCCAACTTAAAGTCGATCTTAGTCATCCCCCTGGACATGTACATTGTACATGTAGCTCTCTCATTGAAATATACTACAGCAACTTGTACATACAGACCATGTGTTCATAAAGTTGTCTTTTCATGTACATGTTTTCTTCTTGTTCATTTCCAGGAGCTAATGATAACAGGGCATAATGATAACAAAGAATGTAAAGTGATGAAATTGAAAATACAGTCATGTTTTTATGTAATTTTGGATGGTGTGCAAATTTTGAATCTATTTGTTATCTTGTCAAATAATTAAATCCAAATGTTATCGCTCATAGGCTATGTACAGCGATAGTCTCAGAAATGGAATCCAAGGGTTGCTTGTTTTTGCCCTAGTTGAGGCATTCTTCTTCAATTGCAGATAGTTTATGAGACATTGCATTAATAATTCAAATGGTACCATACCTGCCAACCCTTCCGAATAATCCGGAATATTCTGATTTTTATGCCTCCGTTACGAAGTATCCGGAGGCATTATGTTTTCGGGTTGTCCGTCCGTCCGTCCGTACGTACGTCCGTATGTCCCGTTCTCGTGATCGCGTTATCTCGAGAACCGACGGATGGATTCCTGCCAAACTTTGGTCATGTATGTAACTTGCAAAGCCAACAAACTGATTAGATTTTGGGGCCACAGGGTCAAAGGTCAAAGGTCACATGGCTCATTATGTATGCAGAAACAGCTCATGATTGCGTTATCTGAAGAAGCGATTGATGAATTCCTGCCAAACTTTAGTCATGTATGTATCTTGTAGAGCCAATGAACTTATTAGATTTTGGGGTCACGAGGTCAAAGTTCAAAGGTCACAGGGCTCATTATGTATGCAAAAACGGCTCGTGATCGCGTTTTCTGAAGAACCGATTAATGGATTCCTGCCAATCTTTGGTCATGTATGTATCTTGCAGAGCCGATGAACTGATTAGATTTTGGGGTCACGAGGTCAAAGGTGAAAGGTCACAGGGCTCATTATGTATGCAAAAACAGCTTGTGATCGTGTTATCTCAAGAACCGACCGTTGGATTCCTACCAAGCTTATATCATGTATGTATCTTGCAGAGCCAATGAACTGATTAGATTTTGGGTCACAAGGTCAAAGGTCACAGGGCTCATTATGTATGCAAAAATAGCTTGTGATCGCATTATCATAAGAACAAATTTATGGTTTCCTGCCAAACTAAGATCATGTATGTATCTTGCAAAGCCAATGAACTGAGTAGATTCTTTGGGTCATGAGGTCAAGGCCAAAGGTCATGCGGCTCATAATTTATGCAAAAATAGCTTGTGATCGCATTATCATTAGAACAGATTGATGGATTCCTGCCAAACTTAGATCATGTATGTATCTTGCAGAGCCAATGAACTGAGTAGATTCTTGGGTCATGAGGTCAAAGGTCAAAGGTCATGGGCTCATTATGTATGCAAAAATAGCTTGTGAACGCATTCTCATGAGAACTGACAGATGGATTACTATTTAACTCAGGACATCTTGCAGAGCCAATGAACTGAGTAGATTTTAGGGTCATGAGGTCAAAGGGTCATACATGTATATGAGAAATAGCTTGTAATCAAGATATTCTGAGAACCTCTTAATGGATTACAATCGAACTTGACAAATTTCTTCTGTTTTGGTTTGTAAAATTGCTCTATGACGGAGGCATCAATTTCGACTGCGCGCAGTCAAAGTTCCATCTAGTCTGAATTTTCAAAATATAGATTTTTTTTTTATTTATTTATTTTTTTTATATTTATATTATTTTTGGGGTGCTAAAGCTAAATTAAGCTTGCCTTTTACCATGTGCAACGGTTTGAGAAATCATGTATTGTGTTCGTTGAATGGCTGCATGACCAAGCAGCGAATTTGTATTTTGTACAGATTTATCGCGTATTGCCAGTTACACTGCCGCTGCAAGTGCGATTTCTTATCATGTATACCGTTGTAAATGTTAACATGTGTTTTGTGAATGATTAGATTTATGTACTGTATTTTAGTAGGAGGAATATATTTTGTCATATTTATGTTTCCAGAGTTTTTCATTACAATGTTTGTTTGGTTTTGTGATTGATTTACAGCGAGGGAGATTTATTATTGCAGAGCATTCTACTGAAGAGTTTATTGGAGGTATGAAACTAGATTCTGATCTCTTCCCCTTTTAATGGCTTTAGGTGGTTTTAGTGAGGGAATTATTGAAACAACTTACCATTTGAAATAAACATAAGTTTATATAAGAATTTATTACATTTTCATTGTTTTTACGATGTAAAGCAAGCGGGGTGGCACTTAAACTTGCTACTGGCAAACATTGATAGGATTAGCATATAATGCTGAAGATGATCTGATGTTTTAATAACTCAAGTTACCTTTTTTTTCATACCGCATTGCTTCATGCATAGAAATTCTTTCCAATTAAGTACAAAATACATCTAACATACAGCATTATATCAAATGAATAAGCTTTCATGCTCTGCATTGGATGTTTCAAGCATCTTTCCTGTGAAGTTGTATATATTTATATCAGGGTATATCAGAAATATTGACCAAGCTCAGATCATATTGCCCCGAGTCGAAAGACGAGGGCAATATGGTCTTAGCGCGGTAAATATTTCTGATATCCCCCGAAAGTAAAGCCATTCAATATTTTTATTGTTATCCAAATCAGACATCTAGAGCAAATTCAGAAATCCACCATGACAATCTCAAAGAACTGAACAAACTTTGTCAAACCAGCACTGTGCATCCAGTGCTTGACGAAATTTTCTATACACTGCAAACAGTGTGCATTTGGTGTGATTATTACGTCACAATAGAGTGCGCGCAAAGTGCGCAGGTTCTCGTACGCATAATAGATGCGCAATGAAAATGACAAAATATGGCGCAGTCAATACAAGATGCCCGGATGCGAGACCGTGGAAAATACCAAGGTATATTTTCACTCGTCTCTACACGCAAAGTCAATACGCGCAGGGAGACCAAGGAAAATACAAAGAATATACCCCTCCGTTCCCACTGCTAGTGGAAACTAGGGCAATACGGTTTTGTAAATGACCAGCTCAGATGTCTGATACGGGTAATAATTAGAATTATTTATTTCCTCTTCGATATGCCGTAACACTTTTTGAATATATACACACTTTTTTTACTCTATGTTGAAAGTGAACAAGTTTCAACAGTTTCAGAGTTCATTATGAGTTGAGTTTCTCCTTAAAGAGAGTTCTGGGTAGAGGTAAAAAATAATTTGTGAGCGTTTTCATTGTTATTATGCAAGTGTGGAAGAACATCATAGAAAAAAAAGTTCTCTGAAGCATGGCTCTTCAAATGCCTTCATAATTATGACATGTAACAGCTTAAAAATGAGGACCACATTTTTATGCCACATGTTTGTGTAGTCCCATATAAATCTTTCTGTGTACAGTGCTTCTTAATTTTACCAAGACTGGGTCAAATTTCTAATCATTTTGATGATTTCAAAACCTTGCAGTACTGACCAATACGTATATGCTACATGATCAACTTTTTCTGATCGATTCCACACAGTTTCTTTTACAATGCAATCGCATGACCAGGGCCCCTTTTCACAAACTTGTCATCAGTGACAAATGACGGTTGTTGTTATAAGCTAGTGAAATCCTTGATTCTGATTGGTTATTAGCAGATTTATCACTGATTTTTGTCATTGTCATTGAGAAAAGGCTTTGTGAAACGGGTCCCTGAACTCAACTTTATCTTTAATTCTGTACTCACTGTAGGTGGGTAGAAAGTATGTGACGGTTTCCATGGCGTCTACCTTCCCAGCATCCTTCATGCAGCCGCTGCTTAACATGTCTGTTGTTCCTGATCCAGGTTAGAATATACATGTGCTTAGATTAGCAAGTGTGCGCTCTTAAAAATGACGCCTGGCTAGAATGCTCCCCAGGGAGTGGAGAATGTGCATACATTGTGTGCGGGTAAGCCTGAATTCGATGACCGGGGTAATAATATGTATATCTGTAAAGCGCTTTGAGAGGTCCTTCGGTCTTGAAAAAAAAGCACTACCGGTATATAAGAACTAGCTATTATTATTATTATTATGTCAAACCTGCTGTAGTGACCACCTGTCTACAAAGACCACTAATTGTTTTCCCTTGGGTGGTCACTATAGGCAGGTTTGACTAGCTGTACTTGTCTATGAGATGAATTATGTCAGAGCCTTGGCTTATCATTCTGCTAACTTGAACAAAGATTTATAGATATGTCGTCGTCTGGCTGGCAGAAGGGCATTAGCTGGAATTTCAGGTAAAAAATGAAGCGTTAAGCAGATGGGCGTTAACTTTTATAAAACTGACTTATTTCTGAGTAAAATTTTTTTGGCCATGTTCTACTATAACATTTCTATCAGTCTTTTAAGTTTTAAACCAATTTTCGGGACGGAAAGCAGTTTAAATATAAAACAAATCTTTAAATGTGAATAATTCAAAAAAGGAGTTTTCGAGTCGCTCACGCTAACGCCCTTCTGCCAGCCGGCCAACAATGTATTCTGTCATTTGGATTGCATGAGATCAATTTTAAAAAGAAATATCTAACAGCACCTTTTAATTAAATGGTACCTTTATTATTGATGCATGAATTAGTAGTGACCGTCAGGATGATATAAAAGTTATAGTATTTTATCGTTCATTCTTTTATGTACCTACATAATGTAACTTAATCATTTATCATTCAAGTCAAACCTGTCTATAGCGACCACCCAAGGGAAACACAAAATGTGGCCTTTGTAGATAGGTGGTCTTTGTAGACAGGTGGTCGTTAAAGCAGGTTTGACTGTATATATATATATATATTCAGTGCGTCCCAGAAAAAACGAAACCAAGAATCAACGATGTTTTATCATAACTTAATCACAATTATAATTAATAAATGACACATATTTGTAAAGCTTAGATTTGATGCAACTTGTATGATGCATATTTTAGGCATGAGTGATAAAAATCAATTTGAAGGGAGGGAACTAAAAAGTCATTTGGCGGACAGTATCTGAATTTCAAAGAGAAAATCTCATCTCTAGAAAGTTCAATTTCTGCCTTTTCATATGACACCTGCTACAGTAGTGCTTGAATTTCCATAATTTCATTAAACGAATTCGTTTTCACTGGCTACCTTAACTCCGTTTCATTGACAATCAGCCATAGATGAAAGACTTCATGCATGGCTGATTGTCACAAAACAGAGTTAAGTCTTTTATCAATTCTGCTTGTTGCTACAACAGGCAGTAATTTTATTTTGCAACTATAAGATTTGACTTTGAACTTTATTCACAGACATCCGCTACACTGTGCAAGAGATTCTTCAAACATTGATTGATCGTCATGACAACACAAACAAACTGAGGAGAAACATAGCCATTCCTAGAAACATCTCTGAGCTGAATCTGAGAGTAGAGAAACCATCTAGACAAGATATATCATTCCTTAGAAAGGTAAACAAAAACAAAAAACAAAAAAAATTAACCCATTCATGAAATGAATATGAGATTCATTCTATAAAGGCATGTTTATTTTGAGTTCTTTTGATCATAGAATATACTCATGCACTTAAAGCTAATGCAAAGTTTTGGGAAATTTTGAAATTTGGATGAATATTAATTCTTTACATTTTTTATATATTTGGATGCCCCTGCGGATGTATTATACCACTAGAAAATTTAGCCCCTAAAACACTTCTGCTTCCGAGAAATTGAATAATTAAAAATTTACCCGGGTGCTCCGGGTAAATTTTAAATAACGTCTACAGCCATTCCATGGTAGCTGCGACCATGAAAATCTCAGAATATGCAGTTCTGATATATAGCTTCCACACAGGAATATCAAATCGGTTGATTGTAGTTGAAAAACATTGTTTTAAAGGTAAGGTAATATCAGTCTTGAGAGGGCGCTATGCAACATAAAGAGTTTATTATTTACAATTTCATATTAACTTTAGACTTGAATTCAACCGCAACAACGATCATTGAACATTGTACAATCGCATATATGCTTCCTATATGTTCATTTGAACCAAATTCATGACCCCTTACCAGAACTTTGTAATACCTTTAATACTTGATGCATTTTAATATATTTATAAATGCATATCACACATTGTTTATATAAATGATGGTAAGCGCTTAGGCACATCGTTGGATCGGTGTATTGAGCGCTATACAAAAAAACAGATTATTATTATTATTATTAACAAAAGATTTTAAAAACTCTTCTTATTTTGTATAGAATGGAGCAGACATCCAGTGGCATATCTATGAGAATCTACGATGCAGAGCGAACAAGTGTGAGAACTATGTCGCTATCTTCACCACACTGGCGCTGCTCTGTGTGGAGTTTGGAACAGATGACATTCTTGTTGACTTAGTCAAGGTTTCCTTAGCATTACAGGTATGGATCTTCTTACATTCTCCAACCTTTATGTATATAGTACCCCTTGTAAATTTACTATCCCAATTAGGCTTAATGTTAGCTTCAGATATGTAAAAAAGAACTTATTATTAACAAACATTACAAAGTATTATGCGATTTGCGTTCCAGATGCATTCTGCTAAGCTACCTTAAAGATGCATTTCATATACCGGTATGTCACTAAGATCAGAATAATTTACCATGTTTCTTGTCTACAATGTCACTAAGATCAGAATCATTAACCATGTGTCTTGTCTACAATGTCACTAAGATCAGAATAATTTACCATGTGTCTTGTCTACAATGTCACTAAGATCAGAATCATTTACCATTTTTCTTCTCTACAATGTCACCAAGATCAGAATAATTTACCATTTTTCTTGTCTACAGGACATGGTATGTGATAATGATTGTAAGCTCAGTCCTATCCATCGATGTGCAGTCCATGCTCTAGTTGCCAGATACCTAAATCTTATCAGTCAACTCACAGCTATACCAGCGCTTGGACAACATGTATGGTCGGTAAGTTCAGTCACTTTCTATAATTCTACTTCTATCTCTGTTGTAGGCTGAAATATCCGAACAGTTTTATTGAGTAATAATAATAATAATAATATTGGATTCTTATATAACGCACATATCGAACTTGCAAGGTCCTCAAGGCGCTCCGACATTTCCCGGCTATGCTAGGCTGCCGATTTTGATGCTCACAGCATTTAAGGAATTTCTTCCTACCGGTACCCATTTAACACCTGGGTGGAGAGTGGCAAGTGTAGATTAATGTATTGCCAAAGGACATTAGTGCCGCAGCGGGACTCGAACCGTGAACCTTGTGATTCACAGTCCGACGACTGTAATAATAATATTAATAATAATAGGCGTTATGGTTTAGTGGATACATCTCTCAAATGTGTATTGCTTGGTTCTCGCCTTCTCGGAGTCCTGCTGTAGCAGTAATGTCCTTTTCCAAGACATTATTCTACCTTTGCCACTCTCCACCCAGGTATCAAACGTTTATGTGGTTGGATTGACAGGTTCTTTCCTCTTGTACAGAGTATCATTATTTCTTGTCTTTTTTCTCGAACTCCAAGCAGAATTCAATACTTTCTCATGATATATTTATATATGTAAAACAAATAATTTGATTTGGAAATTCCTCCGTCATGGTTATAGAATATCAAGGATAATATATATTAATTTGACAAAATAAATGAATCCATTTCAGACTTGTTTGAAGTTCTTAAAGTTTGCATTCTTTTGAAAATTTTGTAGATAGATTTAAATTGATATTTTTATGCCTCCGTTACGAAGTAGCCAGAGGCATTATGTTTTCGGGTTGTCCGTCCGTCCGTACGTCCGTACGTACGTACATACGTAAGTCTGTACGTACGTACGTCCCGTTCTCGTGATCGCGTTATCTGAAGAACTGGTTGATGGATTCCTGCCAAACTTTGGTCATGTATGTATCTTGTAGAGCCGAAAAACTGATTAGATTTTGAGGTCACGAGGTCAAAGGTCAAAGGCCACAGGGCTCATTATGTATGCAAAACGAGCTTGTGATCGCGTTATCTGAAGAACCGATTGATGGATTGCTGCCAAACTTAGGTCATGTATGTTACTTGCAGAGCCGATGAACTGATTAGATGTAGGGGTCACAAGGTCAAAGGTCAAAGGCCACAGGGCACATTATGTATGCAAAAACAGCTCGTGATCACGTTATCTCAAGAACCGATTGATGGATTCCTGCCAACTTAGGTCATGTATGTTTCTTGCAGAGCCAATGAACTGAGTAGATTCTTGGTTCATAAGGTCAAAGGTCATGGGCTCATTATGTATGCAAAAATAGCTTGTAATCACAATATTCTGAGAACCTGTTAATGGATTACAATTAAACTTGAATTCGAAAAATTTCTTCTGTTTTGGTTTGTAAAATTGCTCTATGACGGAGGCATCATTTTCGACTGCGCGCAGTCGAAGTTCCATCTAGTTATTTGACTCTTCGGATTTATCGTCTGCATCTTTTTAAAACATTTTGAATGAAGAAAAAGAAAATCATTATTTAATGTGAAATGTACTTTGATTAAAAAGTGGTCTGATTTAAAGGTAAAGACCAGTTTTGGAAACGCCCCCCTCTCAAAAAATGAAATGGAAGCTAGTATTACCAATCATGTGAAAGAATATGTTTTGACTAATACTTGATCATACAAATTTTGCTGAGAAACTGCCTACTAATTGATATATTTGGTGAATTATTATATCTATTTGGACCTGATAGATATAATGCATGTTATATTCTTACTTTTACCAAGACTGGGCCAAATTTCTTATCATTTTGATGATTCCAGAACTTTGCAGTACACACCAATACTTATATGCTAGATGATCAACCTTTTCTGATCGATCGCACAACCTTTCTCTTACAATGCAATCGCATGACCAGAACTGGTCTTTACCTTTAATGTGTTGCTGTTTATATCTTGATTCAGGTGATTGATACGAGACAGAAGACAGCTCCTTACCTTCTACCTCCATTCAATGTGGACAATAATCAAAGGTAAGACATGATCTCAATCTTCTTGTAGAAGTTACAACAGCAGCGGTAGAAGTAGAAGTTGCAGTAGTAGTAGTAGTTGTAGTAGTAGTAGTAGTAGTTGCAGTAGTAGTAGTAGTTGTAGTAGTAGTAGTAGTTGCAGTAGTAGTAGTAGTTGTAGTAGTAGTAGTAGTAGTTGCAGTAGTAGTAGTAGTAGTAGTGGTGGCAGCAGCAGCATACATTAGTCTCTTTTCACCCTCATTTTGTAAGATAATGTTAAAGGGGCATATTCCCCATATTCCAGAGGGCGTTCAAAATACGTACGTGCTTGCAGACGGTGCTATAGCTGCCTATTGACACCAACAGAATACTGCTCTAACGCAGAGGGCATGTTCTGATAACTACACTGGTGGGTACGTGCCCCTTTAATGTGTTGCTGTTTATATCAGCAGCAGCAGTGATGATTCTACTAATGTGTCAGCAATTGTTCAGAGTTTGTTGAGGAAATACTGTTGATGTGTTGAACAACTGCTGAAGAACATTTAGTAGCAGCAGCAGCAGTAAAAGACGTAGTATTACAAACAGTATCGTAGAGGTGTTGTGGTCCAGAGTATAGGTCTCCGGACTGTGAACCACAAGGTACAGGGTTTGAATCCCTGTTGCAATACTAATGTCCTTTGGCAAGACATTAATCTACAATTGCCACACTCCACCCAGGTGATGTAAATGGGTACCTGGTAGGAATTAGTTCCTTGAAATGCTTGAGCGCCGTAACGGCAGCCGTGCTAAAGCCAGGGTATTAATAATGGAGCGCCAGGAGTGGCAATGTGCCTGGCATGAGCGCTTTACAAGACTTCACTATTATTATTATTATTATTATCATTTTTACCATTGTCCACAAGCACTGAGCCAAAGTCATTGTTAAGACATCACCTTTACATGTATATGAAAAATGTGCTGTATAAATTCTTCATCATTAGTAGTAGTATTAGTTCAGGATTAGTCTTTATACTTATCTGATGTAGTCAAGCCTTGTCAGAGAATTTGACACAGTGTTTGCCGATATTATATTGAAGGACACCATACATAATAATAATAGATCACATTTATAACGCCCCTAATACATTGCTTCTAGGCGCTGTGGTGCTGTTGTCCCAGCAGCCATTAAGTGAAGCAATGTCCTTACACGAAATAAAAGCCGGGACGACAGCACCACGATTACACAATATTATTCAGTACAAAATTACAGTATGTTACGCTATGTTACGTTACAAAATTACAGTTTGTTACAGATAAATGAATAAATCATCTTAATCTAACATAAATTATGCTAAAGATGACTTATTTCATAACAAATAGTAGTACGACATCATTTATTTATTTGACATGTTTAGAGAAGAGAAACTTCATGTATTATATCCTTCTCTCACAGGAAAGTTCCCTCTCAGCCGCTGGCATCCAGTGTTCTATTCCAGAAAGATGCTATCAGTGATGGTCTAAGGAGCAGTGGACATGATGTCTCTCGTCTAAACACTCCCTTCATACATGAACCGTCAGGTATATAATCTTCTGTCTAAACACTCCCTTCATACATGAACCGTCAGGTATGTAATCTTCTGTCTAAACACTCCCTTCATACATGAACCTTCAGGTATGTAATCTTCTGTCTAAACACTCCCTTCATACATAAACCTTCAGGTATGTAATCTTCTGTCTAAACTCCCCTTTATGATGAATCCTCAGATAAGAAATCTCTTCTGAACACTCCTTTAAGACCCGCAGTATCAAAAATGGAATTATCTGTTGATATCGACAATACTTGAGTATTTTCAAAGGAGTGATGCAATTAGCCAGTTTACGGTTGCAGTCTGAGCATGAGCAGATAAAGGTCATTGCAGAACAAATTGTGAAATACACGGAGAAAAAATAATGGATACGTGCTCATGAAAGTTATGTAATCATTATTCATTCATGCACAAGCAGTACACTCCATGATACACAGGTGGAAGTATTCTTTGAAAAGGGGGAACAAAGGCTATTTATGTAGCACCTCCATCGCTGTAGGAGTGATTATTTCAAAATGTACAAAGTGGGACCTCTTTATGTTTTGAAGATCTGTGGATATTCAGGGTTATTGCAGCCATGTGCTAACCGTGAACTGGTCTATTGACTTGGTTCCATTTTGTTTTCTTCATGTAGTTGAGTATCGTCCTCGGAGCGGTGCTGATGTTGGCTCTGTTCACATCGAGCTAGAGTCAGCTCAGTCATCACCAACAGGAATCCGGGTAACTATCCAGCTAGCTTCTCCTGAATTTAGAGATTGAAAAAACAACTATTGTTTAACTCAGTGAAAGGAGAACAAGAATGAGAGAATGAGAAGAGAAATATGATGATGATGATGATGATGATGACGACGATGATGATGGTAATGATGATGATGATGATGATGACAAGTTAATGATGATAGTGATGATGATGGTGATGATGATGATGATGACAACGATGATGATGATGATGATGATGGTGATGATGATGGTGATAATGATGATGATGGTGATGATGATGATGGTGATGATGATGATGGTAGTGGTGGTGATGGTGGTGATGATGATGATGATGATGATGATGATGATTATGATGATGATGGTGGTAATAATAGTGATGATAATAGAAGTGATGATGATAATAGTAGTGATGATGATGATGGTGATGATAATGAAGATGATGATGATGATGATGATGATGATGATGATGATGATGATGGTGATGATGATTTACAACACTTGTATGGTGACACGTTTCTGTTTAAAATGCATTCAAAGGTACAGGCTTGTCCAATGAAGTCAGTATTACACATTTTCACAAGATGAAACCACTTGTATGAGTAAAATTGGTTAAAGGGATAGTTGAGTTTTGTTGTAGAGGGCGCTATGATGTGATTTTACTAATCACTTTTCTTGATGCTATGACTTCAGAAACACCCCCAGGAGCTTGTAACCTTTGAATCCCTGAAGAAGGTGTTGACCCCAATGACGGTCGTAGATGGATGTACAGGGGAAGAGGAGAGAGAGAAGAGACTTGCTATTCTCAGCATGTTCCAGAACTCCTCTCTTGACCAACTAGCAGCTACTGCAGAACAAAGGGTAAGGATGGTATGGGAGCATCTGGGGGGTGTTTCACAAAGGTCCTCAGTTGAACTTATCTCTTAGTTGGACTTAACAATTATGGAAAGCTGTTAGCATCTTTGAAAATATTTTGTTAAAAGTTTTTTTAAAGCCGTAAAATGTTGAGTCAAATCATTCATATTTTCATCAAGGAGATTTCATGTTCTTGATGTGGAATTTATGAAAAGTCTAAAATACTTGAATTTTTGCTTTTGAATATATTTTATTTTAAGGCTACAAATGGCTCTCCATTAATTTGGGATGGGGGGGGGGGGTGGGGGCGAACACTCCAGGGGGCTCACCTTCCAAGGTCAGTGGCGTAATGGGCAAAAAGCTCAGAGGTTTTAGGTATTTAAATATGGTCAGATGAGCATACAGGGGCCTGCCTTAGGGCCCTTGGTGGGGTCCATGGGGCAGAGCCCCTAGAAGCTCAGGGATTTTAGGCATTCAATTACAGTCAGATGAACATATTTTGATACATCATTTGTGACACTGGCAAGGCACCCATTCTTTCTTTCTCTCTTTCTTTTTCTCTTTAAGATACTCTTTCAAAAAAATGTGAAGGGGCTTGAGCCCCCGAGCCTCGCCATTCTGCAGGCCCTGACATGAAGGCTTCTAAATAACCACACTTTTTTTTATCTTACTGTAAATTTGAGAATTTGGTATTTTCCAACAAATGCATAAAAAGGTATAATTTACAAAAAAATCGAGAAAAAAAACCCGGGAAATCATGTCATTTCAGCATCATTTGTAAATCACTGGAGTGGAATTAGAAGTAAACCATGTTTGAATTTTATTTCGGAGGCAACTACCCCCCCCCCCCCCCCTCCCATCAGTACGCCAGTGTTCAGGGGCACATGTCTTCTCACCCCTATACTAAAAAGCACATGCTTTCCCATACTCCCACAATATTTCCACTATATGCGCGTATCGCCATTATAAAATCATCCAATGATAAATATAGGGGCATGCAGAATTTTTAGGAAATTAAATTCCTGTTAACTTTCCTTTTCTTTGAATGGAATATAATTTGTATGTGATTCAATTCAGCTTTTATTATTTTTTATTTTCTCTTTGATTAAACAATACAAACCATTTGTACTCCTTTACTGCTGATTTTTTTTTTTTTTTTTTTTTTTTTGGGGGGGGGGGGCAAAAATGCGTTCTGCCCCCCCCCCCCCCACTTCCGAGGCCTATGCCCTCATGGATATATGAATGAATAGTAATAGATTTGAAACATCAATTTCATTGTAGATTGAGTTTATTCAAGCTTAGCGAGAGAGAATTGCAAAATCTTAAGTAGTTCCATAAACACTGATATCGTCTGCTTCAATCTTTTGTGTACAGTACCACTAACAATTCTTCAAATGATTATGAATAATGTTTTTACAAGACATTTATATATCATTGAGAACTTCATGTTATTCCTTTCTCCCGTCATAAATTGAGTCTTAGTCGTAAGTTTTTTTCTTTCATTACAGAGTGAGAAGTGGTACAAGAAATTGAACGACATCCTTGACACAGTGGTGAAGTAAGAACATTTACTTTTTACTCATTGAAATCATTTCACTTGTAAAATATAAAGTTGTACAAATTCAAAACAGTCTTCTAAAAATGGAAAGATAGGAAAATAAAAAGAAAAACATGGAGATGTCTACAGCACATTACATCCTGCTTTAACCTTTCTGAAAGTTCATTTTTAAGTGCCGAGGGTCAAGGGAGGGGGGGGGGGGGGTAAAAATAAAAATAACTGTCTCCAACAAAGGACCCCATGACATAATTGTGACACACAGCCGATGCTTATTTGATTTTGTTTTCCTCCATATATTCAACTGTTTTAAATAAGCAGGTGGGGCTTACTATTTTCAATGCCTGATAAACTTTGATTGCTGATTTTCTCTTTTAGGACACCACTGTCTCCAGCGGGTAGTCCAGTCCGAGCTGATCCCTCCACTCCAGCAGTCTTCCACTCAGTACCAACCTACGAGATGACATTCCCAGAGCTGTGTGTTTATTAAAATCAGGGACTTGTTCACAAAGGGTGGTATTCTCGAAAGCGGACTAACATTAGTCCATGGTTTAATCCACCGACTAAGTATGGAATGCCAATCGTCCATATGAATATGTTTTGAATAATTTAATCTGTTACTAAATTAAAATAAAATGTAATAACATAATTAATAAACAACAATATAACTGTGATATAATTATGTTATCATGGTAATTTAGGGACATATCAAATTAGTAACAAATCTGATGATAACCAATCAGAAGCAAGGATTTCACTAGCTTATAACAAAAACTGTCATTTGTCACTGATGACAATTTTTGTGAAATGGGGGCCCAGGGACCTGTTTCACAAAGCCTTTTTTCAATGACAAATGACAAAAATCAGTGACAAACCTGCTGATAACCAATCAGAAGCAAGGATTTCAGTAGCTTATAACAAAAACTGTCATTTGTCACTGATGACACGTTTTGTGAAATGGGGGCCCAGGTGTTATAGAGATGGTGTAGGACTGAGGATCACAGGGTAAAGATTAGGAGCTGCCACAGACTAATGGTCTTTGGCAAATTATTCATAAGTGTTTGTCATTTTCAACCAAGGTGAGGGAAATTGTAAAAGATAGCAAGGAATTTTGCTTGAATGAATTACCGTCTCTTCGTAATAATACAACACTTTGTTTGAAGTGCAGTAAAGTATATTTGTGTAGTAGCTGTGCTAAATAAATGCATGTATTATACTATAGTTATTTATATATATATATATATATATATATGTGTGTAAATAAATCACATGTATATCAATCCTCTCTATGGGGTGGACAGGAAGTTCTACCTAGAAATTAAATGTTACTGGTACATCTTAGACTAAGAGCAACATAAGTTGGACTTGAACTAGAAAAGTCTGTCCCCAGACATAAATAATCATATCTGATTGATACACGTCTGTAAAAATCCAATTACATACACTTGCAGGCCATACATGCCACTGTTTGCTCTCACCATTGTTGAAGAAAAAGTGTCAAATATAACTTAAGTTTACAATGTAAGTAACTTTTTTTCTTCCACAATTAACTGTTACAAAATCTAAATTCTGTAGATTTGTGACCATCATGCCCGCCGTCTTCCCCACTTCTGCAATATACATAGGCATATATTAAAAAAGTAACATTCTTATTATAGTGTCTATGGTTAGATGTTAATTGCTTCTAAGTATAGTAGGCTTACGGTTGAGAGGGGGGGGGGGGAGGAGGATCCAATGGGGAGTACATGTACCAGTCCTTCTAGGACTACCACAGTCCTTTTTCGGACAATGCAAGAAAGATTACCAACTGTCCTTTTCAGGACTCCCCATTAGATCCCACCCTGTCACATGGTGCTACCATAAGCCTACTGTATAGTGTATATGGTGTTTGTATTCTTAATCAGACAGGACTACAGAAGGAAATCAAATTAGTAAATATACAAAGTTAGGTTTGTGACTATTCCTCTAATTTACCTCCTTCCATCATTCCAAATACTTTCTAACTGACCTGTCCTAGTTTCACATGTACAATCAGTGATCTTGTTTAGGGATGTATTCATTATATGTCTATGGATCATGTAGTATATGTTTACCATTCTAATGATGAAATCAATTTGTTAAGCACATTAAAGGGATAGTTGAGTTCTGTTGCAGAGGGCGCTACACAAAATAATAGCAATTTTAGGTCCTAAAAGGGCACTAGAAATGCCATAGATTAGAATTAGGGCAATAACTATGCACTTTGAAGGCATTTGCGGTCTGAAAACAGAACTCAACTATCCTTTTAATTGGTTGTGGATTTTGGAGTAGCTTTTAAATAACCCCATTTGTATCATATGGAATAGTAGAGTAAAAATCAAAGAGGATTTTTTTTGTTTTGCACTATAACTTATGAGATACATCCTGTATCATTTCTCTTTTGATTTTATCTTGAAGTAGGTGTGTTAACAAAACTAACAATGATGTAAATTATGACTGTCACAATTATCAAGTACAACCACAAAATTATAAAGGCAATTGTAATGATAATAAGAATAATATGATAATAATAATAAAAATTATAATGATAAGAATATTGAGTGCATGTTAATTCATGCAATTGCAAAGAATGAGCTCTGGCAAGTGTTATCAGCACACTAATATGAAGGAATAAATCTTGTCAGATACCTATTTTAAACCTAGGTTTCAAAAGGACAACAATTTACTTTTATTCATTTGCTCATTTGTAAATAGTTTAATGTATAATTAATGTCAATCTAAATGATATATATTTGTGTACATAATTCAATCTGGTATATTTATCAAAATTCCATTTTCATTGAAAAAGAATGTATATCTATTCATTGAAATATTGTATATATGTATATTTCTTTTCATTTTATTTTCTTTATATTGTTTTCTTTTGCAAAACGAAATAGTGATTGCACAGCTGTCAGACAGTGAAATTTGATAATAAGTGCACCAGTATGTGTGATGTGTAGAGGGATAAGTGATACATCTGGAAACCAAACTTTAACATGTCAATGTATGTATTAAATCAGTTGCCGTTCATATGATTCTCTGATTAGATGGAGCACAGGGGGGCGTTTCACAAAACTTGTCATCAGTGACAAATGACAATTTGTGTTATAAGCTACTGAAATCCTTGCTTCTGATTGGTTATCAGTAGATTTGTCACTGATTTTTGTTATTTGTCATTGAAAAAAAGGGCTTTGTGAAATTGTGAAACGCCCCCAGGTGTCAAAAGGTTATATTGTATTTTGACCCGGGGGGGGGGGGGGGTTTGATGGGGGCACAATTAACTCCAATAAGAAATATCTTGCAAGATTTAATTTTAAAAAGAAAACTTAAGGTCCTTGCATTTATTGTAGAGGAGTGTATTTTTCTAAGTCAAATATTCTTTGCAAAGAAAGAAAAAAAGATGAGAAGAGAAAAGGTAAAAACCTTTTGGAGCGTGGGGGGGGGGGGGGAAACACTTACAAAATTGTGTCCAAATAACAAATTATGGTTTTGCCAGCCATGCAGAGAACACAGAGAGGCCAGGGGCAGGATGGCATGTTCCCTTGATCCAATTACATGTACCAGTATATCTTCTTCTTCTTTTGGTGAACTGTTACAAAGATGTTGCAAAAGTTTGAAAAGTTTTACTTGTACATAGTCAGATAGTAGCTAGGCCTATAAAAGCAACAAAGTAAAAAATATTAAGTGTCTCATATTCAAATCGTAAACAGAGTTGTACTTGTATTGTAGTACTCCATTCCAATTTTGATAGCTAGATGAACCTATTTTATTGATGCATATATTGATTTGATTATCATGTCTGTGTATGATCTAAAGAAAGTTAAAGGTGCAATACCCATATTAACAAAACATTACATGTATTTCAGCTTGCTTGTATGTATTTAGATTGTGAATATGGTGTCTCTTTGTATACATGCATAATGAATGTTGGTATGGTTATTTTCTTGCGAGGGACAGGGAAATGCAGAAGCGTGTATTTGTCAGTGTCTAATAATGTTGATAGAAGAAGATGGAATGATACTGTCAAAACGTTTGAGAATAGAAATTTGGTGAGAGTGCATGAGAGGGGAAATGGAGATGGAGAGATCGAGGGGCAATTCAAAGAGAGAAATATAGGAAGTGAAATTAAGAAATTAAACTGGGGGGAGGACAAATAATACATGAATATATACTCATCAATATGCATTTGATAATATTCTTTGAAAATACTTATGGACTTTTGTTTTAAATGTCCATGTAGTAGCAAGATGGAGCGTGGGTGTTACATGCAGCTAGAAAGACAGGTTGAGGGAGTGGGTAGCGCAGAGGAAATGCAAAAGGGTACGATGATGGTGAGAGAGAGAAAGAGATGGTGGTGAGAGAGAGAGAGAGATGATGGTGAGAGAGAGAAAGAGATGGTGGTGAGAGAGAGAGAGAGAGATGATGGTGAGAGAGAGAGAGAGAGAGAGAGATGGTGGTGAGAGAGAGAAAGAGATGGTGGTGAGAGAGAGAAAGAGATGGTGGTGAGAGAGAGAGAGAGAGATGATGGTGAGAGAGAGAGAGAGAGAGAGAGAGAGATGGTGGTGAGAGAGAGAGAGAGAGAGATGGTGGTGAGAGAGAGATGATGGTGAGAGAGAGAAAGATATGGTGGTGTGAGAGAGAGAGAGAGAGATGATGGTGAGAGAGAGAGAGAGAGAGAGAGAAGATGGTGAGAGATAGAGAAGATTGTGAGAGAGAGAGAGAGAGAGAGATGATGGTGAGAGAGAGAGAGAGAGAAAAAAAAGATGAGTATGGGTTAGATTGAGACGATGTGTGTGTGTGTGGGTGTGTGTGTGTGAGAGAGAGAGAGAGAGAAACAGCAAATGTTTATGTGAGAGAGATATTTACGAATGCTAAGTTAAAGGTACTATGTCCCATTTGCAGGCCAAAAAAATGAAAAAGTTAAAATTCCAACTGCATTTGAAAGATAATACTAATTTAGAACTTCCCTAAAAAAAGGTGGGGCTTGAAAATGTCTTCAAGTGGGAAAATAATGACTATTAGTTGTCAAATCGACTTTAGGGCTATAGAGCCCAAAAGTAATAGTCTTGATTTTCAGACAATTGTACTGAATGGTCATACGTTTTATGCTGCGCAAAGATTCAATCAGTTTAATCTTGGCCGTCACAAGAAGTGGGTTATTGATGTAGACAAATGCTCATGTACCCTTTACAACTCTTATCATGTATGTTATTACCAAAGAAGAAAAAAAGCCAGTCAGTCACTCAATAGTGTCCGACAGTGAAGTCTAGCAAGTAAACGGGTTTCCTTGCATAATTTGAATATGAGGACACTGATAACGTTTAAATTTCACAGATAGGACATACATGACATATTCATAATTCCTGCAAAGTTCTACAGAATTTGAGGTCGGCTGCAAAAGGGACATAGTACCTTTAAGTAAGCGGGCGAGATCAGGTGGCTCAAAGGACGAGTTATGTTGATGTGTAGGACGTTTTGTCTAGTCTTCTTTCCAAAACAATTATAGATTAATATAAACACCTTGAATTAATTTATTTAGTACTGACTAAATATGAATTTGAGAAAAAAACAC